AAAGCTTTTTAAAGGCTGATAAAAACTTTGAAGGGGGCTGCAAGCCCCGTCTGGAAGCAGAGAGTGAACATTCTTGCAGCCCTAGGTTAGCCATGATTACAAAACCCTGGCATAACGACAGGGGGATGCTTTTATCCCACACTCCTACTTTAATCCCATATAGCTGAAGCATTTCTTGCAATACTTTAGTTACCCAAAGCAAACCCCCAAACATTTGCCTTTGCACTGGCTCACTGTGACGCATCTGCCCGTGCCAACCATGCAGCTGGGTCCCAGCGAGCAGGAAGCACGTTGCTATTCTTGAAACTTTTGGAAGGGGAGTCACTGTGCAGGTGAATTTCGAAGGCCCCCTCTATTCACGAGGCCAGCCTTCCCCACCACCAGCCCTGCACATCTGCCCATGGCTACGAATCTACCCAGCAAGTACAATCCCATTTCAAGTGGCAAGACCAACCCCAGGGAAGGGATGGGTTAACTCAAGACATACAAGTGGAGGGAAGGTCCTTATAGTTTTCATGTAAAATCCTGTCAAGTTCTTGAACATAGCTAGCTTTCTCTAGGATCACAAAGCACAAAGCTCTCTCCTCGCCTTCCAAGGTGTCACTTTCAAAATCTTTTGACAGCCAGAGACGCTGGTGAGAGCATCCACAGTGCACGCTGACCCTCCCTCGCTGGGGACCACTCCCACCGTTCCTTTGAGGCACCTCTATCAAAGAGCCAGACAAGCTCTGAACGTGAAAGACCAGTGGGGACAAACAGACTGGATTCAGTTCAGCGACAAAGCACTGGAGCTGGGACAAATCCAGCACTTGGAAGATCAGCCTGCTTGTCACCTGGGTGTCCCCAAGGCTGGCAGCCCTATGGCCATGTGCCCCGCGCAGCTCGGGGGCTGCCTGGCGGGGCAGACGCCTCGGACAGCCCACGTCCGCATGGAGCGCTCCCGGCACGGCGGGGCAGACGCCTCGAACAGCACGTGTCCGCACAGAGCGCTGCCCGGCATGGCAGGGCAGACGCCTCCTTGGACAGCCCGCGTCCACACGGAGTGCCGACCGGCACCGCAGGGCAGACACCTCCTCGGACAGCGCGCATCCGCACACAGCGCCACCCAGCACGGCTTCCGTGTGGCGGGCACCTCCCTGCAAGCGCAGGCCGGGAACGGCCCCGCGGGCTGGGCAAGGGCCCCACGCGGGAGGGGAAGGCCCCGGGCGCCGGGCCGGTGAGCGGACCGGGCTGCGGAACAAGGACCCCGGGCGGACCCGGGCGGACGGAGGGCGCCGACACCCACCTTCCGCCTGCGAGGACAGGATCCCCTTCACCCGCAGATCTAGGGAATCCAGGGACACTTCCATGTACTCCATGCTGTTCTCCTGGACGGAGCCCTCTCTGCCTCCCAGAGAGGACTTGAAGGCTTCAGCACCTACATCACAACAGAAGTATATTTACATAGGAGAAAAAAAAGATTTTTTCTTTTAAATATATGTGCCTGTATGTGTGTAAAGGGCACATTCACCCAGGCAGGCAGGATGCAGGCTTCTCCGAGTAGAGATGCACTTCGAATTATGATAATGCAACATCTGGGCATATAGGGCACAACTGATCTCTTATTTCCTTCCCTGCCTGAGCGCAGAGATCTTCCACTTCCACTTAGGTAGGTAACAAAAGAAGAGGAGCGAACACAGCAAGTCAGCCATGCCTCTGAAGGGCAGGTGTGCCGGCTGCTGTAGCGCAGGGGCAGTGGAGCCTGCCTGGCACCAGGACGGGCCGCCCGCCACCCACACCGGGGCCAGCGCGCGGGCTAAGGACATGCGGTGCAGAGAGCCTGGGCAGGAGACGCTCTGCTTAGCGGGAGGAGAAACATAAAAGCCAAGTCCTGGCTCTACGTGAGCAAAGCAGCTGCTGGAAAGAGACTGCGTGGGGGATCCCTCAGAGCCTTCTTGGGAATTGCAAGGTTCTTCCCATTTGCCTGGCTTTCCTTTTTCCGCTGGCTTGCTTCTCCCATCCAGGCTTGGCCAAGAGACTTCTTAGCCTGGGAGATGAGGTGCCACCTTTATCCAAGGGTCTCAAAAGAGCCTGCCATCTGGAACCCAGCAGCAGCTCTTTGCTCTGAAGGGGCTCGGGGACCCCGTCTCTTCCTAAGGAAGGGCCTGTGCGCAATCAGCACAGGACAAACGCCCGGCAAAACCCCAGAGACAGCCCAGGGTCAGAAACATGCTCCTGCAGCTCAGGTAAAAACAGCCCGTTTCAGAGAATTACCAAACACAGAAAAAAACTTGATCGCAATGGTTAAGTGTGAAATGATAATAATGATGGTTGAAGACAGAGCTGCACTTGCAAAGTCTACTGCTTTACCATCTTGTTACTTTTCCTACAGATGAAAAATCAGATCCACTTTCCCCTTCCACTTTTTCCTACCCCACAGCTCTCAGAGAACAGAAGGCTCTGCAACTCCTTTAGAGGGCCGTGTATTTTAGCTCAAACAAGAAGAACCACCTGAACCATGGCTACACAGGGGAGATGGCAAGCAGCAGCTCATTACCAGTTTTGAGATGCTAAACAGAGAACTGCACCTTCCCTTGCCCTGGACTAGCACCCACACAAAGCAATCACAACTCACCTAGGGTGGTATCCTCCTCCTCCATCTAACTAATCTCCCTTAGCTTGTAATTTACATGAGTCCATGAGGTCTATTTTTGGATCTTCTCAACCAAAGGTTTACTCCATCTCTTAGCAGGCGTTTGGGACATTCTCAGGGTGGGTGAGAGATGACCGAACATCTCTGCTCATGTGCTATTTGGAATTTACTTTCAATGAGCAGGAGTTAGGCTGACCCTTGTACTTTCTACCCGAAACACAGCAAATCTGAAGTTAAAACGAGAACAGGAAGTTGTTTCCATATCTGCCCCATTTCCTCAGAAAAAAACAAATGGTTCATTTGGACATGGACTCACGAACAAGGGATATTTCTGGCACTTGCAACAAGAGAAGGACGAAGCCCCTCATATTTATTCTGCATATGAGCAGCTACTGGAGCAGGTGAGGGGCAAGTTCAGGCCCTGGTTTACCATATAGCGTATTCTCACAAAGGAAGGAAGAGCTCTGCACACACTCCCTGCCGCATGGGCCTCGGGCCTCAGAAGCACCCAGAAAAGCTCGTTTCTGGGTAGGTAAAGGACAAACATAGCGAGTTACCTAGCACACCAGCTTGTTTCTTTTTATTCCTCCGTCGCCTCTTGCGGGTGGGTTTCAGCCATGGGCTATCCGTCTTCCCTTTCCTCTTCAGCAGCTTCTTCTTGACGCTAGACTCCGAGCTCTGGACAAGCAGAGAGGCCAGGTTAGGCACAGTGGCGCGAGCAGCCCAGCAGCTCCTCGCACCCATGCTCAGGACCCTTCACACAGCTTGAGTAGCGGGAAAGGCCTCAGGGCCCAGGGGTTTGGTGCTAAGATGTCTTTATAGTGCCAAAAAGGAAACATGAATATGCACGTGGGTGTATTTCCTGTCATTTAAATAGTGCATGCTTCACTTTCTCTTCACGTAGGCTCTTACACTCCACACTGCAGCAGTATCCGAGCACCTTTGCTCAGTAACGTAAGTCATGCAGTTGCCTGCACACTTGTAGCTTCTCCCAAGGTGATCTCCCCCTTCTGCCCCAACAGCAGCGTTTCTCCAGGCAGGCTGCAGAATGCCAGGCAGCCACGCTCGCACCTGGAGGGGCAGCTGACGGCACTGGCACAGACCTGGTCAATTTCATGCCACAGTATCTGAGCAGTCCCCTCCCTAGGCAAGGCGCAAGGCACCAGCTCAACACAACCAAACCATACAGTAACAGCCTCCTCAGTCACATGGTTTGGGTGTTCTGTTTTAAACACAGAAAATACGGTTGTCTGAGGTGGGTTTCCAAAGACAATGTTGTTAATCGGGAATCAAGCCTGCCTTCCAGGATTAGGGTGCCTGAAAGTTCAAATCAAAATATTCATGTTCAAATTGAAACTGGTAGCTCATTAAAGGCTACCCATGTCCCACCAGTGTCTATGAACAAGCTCCTGCTGCTTCAAGAGAGGCTGCATCAAGCCCTACCTTCATGGCCTACCTTGGCAGGAGACCGATGCTGCACCATGCCCTGCTATCCCAGTGCCTGCAGTGAGGCAGAGGTGCTGCTGGGCCCTGCTGCTCCGAGGTGGCTCTACGGCCGTGTCTACTCTGCCCTTGATAGCCGAGCCTGCGTGTGGGCTTGACTGTGCCTCCCCACGTGGCTCCAACCAATTGCATCACACTGCTGCTGGGGGAGAGGTTTGTGCTCGAGCCAGGCCCTGTCTGGGGAGATGACTGACTCACTTCAGATATGAGCACAGCAGAAACCACTTCTAGGGTGGGTAGATATGACTTGGGAGTTTGGACTTGACTGTAAGATCAGCCTTCAGTTTGAGCTAACTGACTTCCCTCAACCCAGCAAAAGAGGCAGGCTGCCCAACACCTGCTGGTTTCTCTTCTCTGGCTCTTGTAGTGTCAGAGAATATAGACCAAGACTCTATAGAGCTTCAATGATTGATTTGTTAAATTCACTTCTACCTTCAGCTCAAAACATCAAGAAAAGGAGGCCAAGAATTTTCTCAAGGTGACTGCAGAATTGGGGTGCCTTAAAAGCTGACTCCTCAACTTGAGATGCTGTGGAAAGGGAGCAAAGTTTTAAAGTAAAGGGGAGGGTGCGAGGACACAGACAATTAATAAACAGTAATTTCAAAAAAAAAAATCAGGTTCCCCTCACCTGCTGTAGCTTGGTCATTTAAAAAACAGTAAAAACAACCAGCAGCTGGTGACAGTCTTGCCCTAGCACTAAAAAGGCAATTAGGATGCCTGCCTTTTTCTCTGTGCCATTTGTAAGTCTCCCTGCAGCTGAGGGCTGTGGACTCCACTGGCACTGGGAGCTGGCACGTCACATCAACGTGAATTTAGGCACAGGGCTGGGCCAATGGATTTGGGAACAACTCCACCTGGACTCTGAAAAGACACACTGAGCTTCAGGTTCTTAAAACATTGCTGGCTTGTACCACTCGCCAAGTCTGCCTCCAAAGAATTTAAGCACCCTTAAATATTCCCACTAATGGTTCAAATGATTAAAAGCAGTCAACACCTTGTTGAAAACAACAAAAGCCCATTAGTTAGCATCAGAAAGCAATTAATTGTATTACAGATCAGGGCAAAGCACCTTGTGGAAAACAATATTCTATGTGTGGGTGGTTTCAGAGAGCAAATTTTGTCAGAGAGATGTGAAGCTACGGGGCTTCTCTCTCTCTTTCTGCCAAAGAGGAAAATATTATTAACAGGATTTAGCAGTCAGGCTTACCAAGTCAGACTCATCTCCGTCTTCCTCCTCCTCGCCAGATTCTCCAGACTCCTGTTCTTCTTCAGACTCGCCATCATCGATCTGCAGCCACCATTTGCCCAGGAACAGAAAGTCAGGTCAGGTTTCTCAAACCAGAGCCAGAAAGTGCTCACAGCCCTGCTCGGGTTCTGGTCACCCCAATGCAACATCCAGCGCAGCATCCAGCCCCTACCTGTGCATATACTAACAGAAGTTCCTTTCTGGAACAAGAACTCTAAAGCTTTTGATCGCCATATAATGAGGGAGGTACAGGGAAAAGCTTTCATCCCAGAAACGGAGTCTTAACTTCTGTGATAATCTAGGAACAGCCTCATGCCTGCACCAGGCACCGTGATACTGCTCCATGATTTGGAAAGACTTGTTCTTAAAGCATTTTGTTGTTGCGTGTAGCAGGCAAGACTTGGAAGGCATCTCTTACTGATTCAGTGAATCCCATAACTCAACATGGTGGGAGTCCTGCACCAGGACACTCAACCCTGGAGTTTTACGTAGCAGTGATGAGACCAGGGGGGCAGCAGGAGATGGCCATCAAAAGGCCTCACTTAGCCTGGCGCTTTCTGCCATCCCCTGGGCTAAAATGTCTGAGAAGTTTCCTCACCTCTTGCCCTTCTTCCCTATCCCACATACACACCAGTGTCCACCCCGGGCGCTCGAGGCCTGCGCAGGGCACGTGAATACCTTTCTGGCATTGTCTGTGTCGGACACGCTGTCTTTAGAGGTCCTGGTATCATCTGCAGGAAATGCAGCTGCCTGTTCTGCTCCATGATCATCCTCCTCTTCCAGCTCATCAGAGTCCTCCTCCTCAGAGTCTACATCTAAGCTCTCCCCGTTCACATGAGGACTGGCATCACCCAGGTCCTTTTCACCCTGAAAGCCAACCAAGCACATGAGCCACAAAGACAACATCAATTCCCAGCGCTGAGCAGCTTCACTTGAGCCAGCCCCCTCCTCCTAAAGCTGGCTGCATCCCCCTCCAGCGCTGCCAGCAAGCCGCTTGCAGGGCCTACCACGTGTCACCACGTGCTGTCAGTGTGGGCAGCAGGGAGCCACCAAGAGCCATTCTAGACCCGTGCAGCTGTACAAGGCCAAACACTACAGCCCAGTTTCGGCAGGAAAGGGCAGCTCTGCAGTGCAGTACTGAGCTTACAAGTAAGGTTTCTAGGAACAGAAAGGGAAGATAAAAACCAGAAGTGATTTCCAACCCACTCCGTAAAGGCCCAGGGCTGTTTTTGCTGAATTCAAAGGCCAAAACACTGAGGCCTGGACTGCAGTGGAATTGGGCAAGAATTCCAGGCTAAGGTTTCTAAAGCGGCTGGTTGTCTTGCCTTACAGCGTCAAGCAGGAACAGCAGGCAGGTACCTTGAGCACTCCAGAACAAAAATGCTACCACATGGGTACTCTTGAAAACTCCCCCGCTCCACGGGACTCGGGGACAGAAGGGAAACAGTCACTGGAAAACACTTAAGAGCTGGTACCTGAACTGCCACCCTCAGACAGTAATTTTCAGAGCCTTCCAGCAAGGCTCCTAAGGGCAGGATGCTGCCACCAGAGAGCAGCTGTAGACTCAGGACAGAAAATGCTGACAGCAACAAGGCAGCGTGTGCTCAGCCGCACGTGACTGCTGCGCGGACAGAGGACATGGCTGGAGACAAGAGAGGTGCCCGCGAGGGTCGGCGCACCCCTCACCTTGGCGCCCACCGAGGAATGAGTTATGCTCTTAAACATCTCCATCATTGTTCTCTGTTTTAACACTTTGGTCTTTTTCTTGGGAACCAGGCTATAGGTTCCCATTCTCCGTTTTTTCTTCCGAGATACTGCAGCAGCTGGAAAAGAGAAGCAAAAAACCCGAAGTGGATTCAGGAGTGAAAAGAAGAATGGATAGAAAGGAGAGGCTTGCACTGTGGGAAACCACACCTGAGGGCAGGAACTAATGCTGAACAGACAGAGAAAAGGGCTTCCCACTCAAGCTAGTTATTTACAAGTCAACAACAAGATGACAGACACATGCGTGTGAACACACAAAAGCTTTCTGCCACTGCTGCAAACTCACCCAAATTCTCCTTGTTCCTCCTGACCCCTGTATCACCACACATAATATCAAAATCCTTACATTAGACTGTCTTTGGCAGTCTTGCTGATGCTGTAGGAGGCTGAATAGAATCCAACTTGCTCAAATAGATACTGCAATACTAATAATATGGACTTGCAATGAATGCAATCATACAGTAACTGAATAAAACATATAGAAAAGCCAACCTAAAGAGGTGTTTGCTATTTAATCTGTCTTCACACTAACTGGGGAAATTGCAGCTTGATTCCTTCCAGTACTCTGGTCAGGTCTTATGTGGCATGTCCCCCTTCTGCCTTCTGATCAAATCAGCCATCACATCTCCCAGCCTGACATTGTCTTCAGAGAAAACACACCACACGTACACGTAGTGCAGGCTAGCAGGAAACAGCACCGGCAACATCACTTTGCAGCTCTACAGTCTCTATTCCTTGAAAACATTTCTTCCTTTCTCACTAAAATGAAGTTTCCTCCCCTCCCAAAAAACAATCTATGAAGAGTCTTCTCTTAGAAAGAATTCTGCTAACCAAATCAATTTTATTTACACAGCTGTAGCTCATGGTAAGCTGCTGCCCCACTGACATAGAGAGTTCCTCATAACTGACAGGAACATCTTCAGAGTATCACATATGCAGATGGGATAAAAACGGCCCCTGTAACAAAGAGTTTTAGTAGAGAAGTAAAAGGTTCTGCCAGGTCTGGCTGGCCTCCGGCAAAGCACAGCTGCCTCCCATGCTGCTAAGGGCAGGCAGGAGCTCAGGACACTAAGGATTTTGTTCACCCAATCTACACTCATCCCACCACGAACCCTGCACCCCACAGAAACCCCATGTTGCTGTAAGGACTGAAGAACAAAGGGACAGGAGGCTGATGGACTCCATCCATCTGGGGGCCCCTTCAGTGGAGGAGCGCAAGCATATGCCCTGCGCCACCCTCAGCCCCGCAAGCCCCAAGGAAGCCACAAGGACAAGGACTTCATTGCAGCAAAATGGCCAGTTGCAGAGAAGCGGCTAAATGAGAGGACATCGGTCAAAGGAGGCTCTACTGATGCCAGCAGGAGAGGAAATCTTAAAGGAGATTCAGTGGGGAGAAAAAAAAAACACGAGCAGAGGGTGTTTCAGTGCTTTCTAGCCTGTCCCATGCCACATTCACTCACTCACACACACATTTTGCCGGTGGGTGCTGCTAGGGATTTTAACTCTGTCCTTTTTACCCGTCTGCGACTTTGTGGTGGCCACATAGCTCTGGTTCTGAGGTAGTGACTGGTGAAGGCCCGGGAGAGAGGGCAACGGCAATGGCTTCCCAAACTCCAAGACATTTTTGTTGCCTTCCTCCTTGGATTCTCTCTGATCTCTGCTGTCTCTCCCTTCTTTGGGGTCTTTACTTGCATGCTGGAAAACAAAAGGAAGGTAAACTGAGCCTTGGCATCCAAAAACCCAAGAAAATAAATTTAATTCCATTCTCTCTCAAGCATAATCATCTGTATTTGAAGAAAGGAACATATATGCAAAGGAAAAGCACACAGCCCCTTCTCTAAAACACAGTGTTACTTTGCCTAAGGACTCCAAACACTCTCAGCCTGCTGCTCCTTCCACTGTTCCCTTTGAAGGTGAAAGACTACACGGAGAGTGAGGTGGCAGATCCAGAGTAACTGCAGCTAATGAGAAGGATCAGACACTACTGACACAGGCATTTGATCGGCTCTGGGGACGCTGGATGGAAGCCCAAGAAGCAGCTCTTCCCGGTAGTGGCTCCCGAGCACAGGCCGTCCCGTGAGAGCGCGCGCAGGGACACGCTGCCGGGCAGCGAGCGCCCACGGGAAGGGACCCGCTGCGCACAGATCCAGCACGAGCAGCTCTGGCAACAGGCCAGGCCTCGACCCAACGAGCGTCCTGGAAGGGGGCAGCTTCCTGAGGGGAGGAAGGTATTTGCCCCACGTTGCAGGTTCATCTACAGGGCCACCTCTGCCACTGCACAGACTTGTCATGAGTTCGCTCGAGCTCCGCGAGCCTGGCCAGCGCGCACGGAACGTACCGCACAATACAAACCCTGTGGGAATTGCCTGCTCACCACTGCACTGCCTCTTGCTAGGGAAAGGCTCCCGGAACCCAGCCCGGCTCAGGCAAGTGGCAACAGAGCTGAAATCCACCGCAAAGGCCCGTCTGGCCCTTCAGCCAAGCGGCCAGGCTTCCTCCAGCCGAGCTCTCCGCAGGGCTGCACCAAGGGGCGTAAACACTGCCAGGCTCATCAGAGCGTTTCACACCGGCTTCATTCTCCCATCCTTAACATGGCCCTTAATGTTGCAACTATCTGCAACACCTTAACCAGGGACCTCACCACACCCCCGCCCTGGGCATCCGTGCGCTCAGCTGGCGCCTGGGAGGCAGGTTGGGAAGAGCCTGAAGAGCCAGAGCACCGGGAGCAGATCAGGAGCTCTGCGGTAGCAACATTTCAGTGCCCTCCGCTCGCAGGAAAATAGTTCTTCTTATGGCACTCCTGAAGCAGCAGCACCAAACTGAAAGAGGAATCCAGGCACAAGGAAGGAAGGACAGAAAAAAGAAAAATCCATGAGCAATACACACACTTCTAAAACTCTAGGGCCCAACAGGTACTCTGAGGCACTGCTTCTGAGCGATGTGACCTTGTGAGTCAACAGAGAATGAACTGGCTCTTCCAAGGACAACGCTGCAGCACGGCCGGCAGGAGCCAGGAATCGCTCATGGACAGAATCGCTCTAAGGATCAGCCAGACCGACCCGTGCAGAGAGGCCAGCAAATTCCCAGCGATTCCTACGTCAAGCCCATAACTTCTGGCTGAATTACCACATCTTTTCTTGAAAGGCATCTAGTCTTGAATTAACGGTTTCAAGGATGACAAATCCACCATATCCTTTGATACGCTATCCTGATGGTTAATTGCTCTGTCAAACAGTCAAAAACTTTATGCCTTTCCCACTAAATTAGGAAGCTCGGTATCATCACGTGGATACTTACAGACTGTGATCAAGGAACTATTTCCTTTTTGAACTTTCGCTTCAGCAGTTTAACAGAATGAGCACATTAAGTGGCTACGGGATGATCTCCTGGACGTCGAATCCCGCCCGACCCCGCTCCCGATCTCCTGCCCCTTGGCAGGACGGACGTCAGAGTGCAGAGCGCAGTATGTTAATAACAGCCTCCACAACACTATTTATACCTCCACAAAGGCCCTGGTTTGAAGAGCCAAAGGTTAATGTTAACTCTTGGAATTAGAATTATTCTGAGAATGCCCAGGTCCCCTAGAACATCACCTGCTTTCCAGATTTTGCTTAAAATTAGAGAAAAAGACTTCAAGAGGACAGATCTCAGGCAGAGCTGCCTATGACTACACAAGTCTATGCAAGGCCTGTGCTCTCTGCCCTTAGATGCAGGTTTTGCAGCTCGTCTAAAATGTGCTATCACTTGCACACTTCAAGAATTCACATCCAGACCATAGGAGGCTGTTTGGAATCCCATTTTAAATTAAATTTAGCTTGGGTTTTTTCTCACCCCCTGTAATTACAAAATGGAAATCACCTTCTTCAGCAGGGTTGCATGGCAACTCTTACATGGGACTTTTGCATAACAACTGTTACATGGGACTTTTTCATGGGAACTCCAACAAAACCAATTTTTAAATCAAATCAAGTCTTGGGAGATCTGCATTACTACCTGGAGGCACACACAGCGCACCTGAAGAGCAAGGTTTTAATGCAGAGGTGATGGGGTCTCTCGGGAAGCCTGACGGTGCAGAAGAGCTTCGACAGAAATCCTCAATCTAGAGGTTGCACTGCAAAGATCAACCAAGCTCTCCAAGCATGCGCAGTTCCCTGAGCGCCCTCCTTCGTTCTCAGCCAAGGCGCTGCCTGCCTGTCCGGGCTGCACTTTATTCTCTCGTGGCTCCCGTCGTCTCCAAACCCCATCGGCACCTCGGCTCCAGCCCGAGGACACAGTGCGGAGTGGTCTCCCAGGGCAGGCTCTTCCATCCTCCTCTGCTCCAAACTGAAGCGCTTCCAGAAAGGAGGCTTCCCCAGCCCCGCACACCTGCCTTCCAAGAAACGTGTCTGCTGGAGCACACGGAGTCGCCCAGGGCTGGGTCAAGCACAGCTGGTTCCCTCCTTGCGGGTCCTTGCGGGACATCCCGTTGGAAAGACTTTCCTCTCCTCTTTCACAGCACTTTGCTTCTCAGGGCTGCGTGAACAGGTGACACTGCAAAATGCACAGCTTAAGATCCTGCCACACATTTCTCTCCCTGTTCATGCTTATTTTAACCCAAAGCCCCTGGCTCACAGCTCTGCCCACAAGCCCACAGGTCGAGCAGCCTGCGGCAGGTTCAGAGCCAGGCAAGAGCCCGTGCAAGGGCAGCTCGTTGGCACCAGAGCTGTTCCCTGCGGGAAGGACAGGTTCTTGCGACCAACCCTGCTGCAGCAACGCGCCCAGCCTGCCCGGCTGCCGGCTCCGGCTGCCTCTGTCACAGCCACTCGGTCGCAGCACAGCCCAGAGCACCTCGCGCCCTGGCCGCATGCCACAAGCTCTCCCCGAGGCCTCTCCGGGGGCACCATGGATTCCTCCTCCATCTCCCAGTCTGCCACAAGGGTCAGTACCAAGCAGGTACCTCTAAACTGCTTGGCAGCCCAGTGCCAACCCAAGCAAACTCCTGCTTCGTGGCTTAAGCATGTGGGAACTGCACATGCTGCAGCAGGATCAACAAGGGGCTTTCAAAGAACAGGCGCGTCAATAAATTCAGCAGCGGGGATCACTAGTCAGCACCTCCCCAGCCCGTTTGCTATGATAGATCCTAATGTGTTGCTGCTCTGACTCCAAAATATCCAGACTTCGCCTCCTCACGCAGCAGGTGACTCTCTGTCAAGGATGGAGGATGAAACAGCTCTAGAAATGCAGAGTTTGGACTGCTCTGCAAGGGCAACTCGAGGCCACAACTTGAGCTCCTTGTGGTCCACACGCTGCCCCAACCACCACAGAGCGCTGAAGGCCAAGCAAAAAACAACAGTGATAAAGAAGGAACACGCCTGTCTTTTGTGATACCTACTAATCAGATATTTTGTGGTATCTGCTATCAGCCTCTCATGTGATATCTGCTGATCTTAGGTGGAAGGCTGTGAATTCACTGTTCCATGTTGGGCCCTGCAAACGAGAGTCAAGAAGCTGCAGAGAGAAGTTGCGAGAGCTACTGCAAGGCTCAGGGCACTACCTCAGACACGTCTGTGTCTGGACGCAGCAAAGCCGGCAGCACACGCAGGTACGCCACCATGGCTGGAGAAGCAGGAGCGAGAGGTGCTTGGACTGGGCCAAGGACACATCATTTTGCATGGCTGTAAGAACCAAACTCAAGAGCCTCCTGTTTTAACGAGATGAACCGTGTTTCTCGTATTGGCACACAAGCTCCTACAGCAGTAGGGAGAAGTTACTAAAACTGGCAAAGACTGAAGATCCTGCATTTGTTTCTCCAGAAGCAAAAACAAACAACAGACAAATCTTGCTGACAAGATTCTTCCCATAGCCCAGTAGTCAAGAGTTCCTGCGTTCCCAAAGCGAGCGAGAAGGGGACACTGGAGGGGAATGAGATCCACATGCTGGTGCAAATGCCCCAGCAAACCTCCCGCGTGCGGAGCGTTGAAGCAGGGCACCTCGGCCGCGTGCGGCAGGATGGCACGGAGCCCTGCACACCAGCCTGGCAAGGTGAGTGCCCTCATTTCTCTTACAGATTTTCATCTCCAGCGCCCTAACAAGGCAGTTTGGTTTCACTAAAAACAAACTGCTCAGCAAGAACACAAAGCCAACTAGCAGGACTGAACTCACTGCTGCTGGCACCGGGCAAGAAGGCAGTTGCCACCAAGCAACCCCTGCTCTTCCTCCATCAGCGGGAGGGATGGGCAGGGGGGATGAGATTTGCACCAACGTGTCGCCTCGAACACGACGAAGCAGCAGCTCCCAAGGGTGCCTGCCCCCAACAATTGCTGCTGAGATTTAAGCACGAAATACTGATCACTATAAAAAAATTATCACAAGCAGGTGACAATGTTTCTTTCATGGTCACTACAGAATTAAGAGTTTTCACTACCAAATTACATACTGGCTGCAAAGAGATCCCAATCACTATCCATGGAACAACAAAAACACTGCAACCTAATCCAAAGCACCACTGCCTATTAATTAGCTGGGGATGATGTCCACTGCATATTAAAGGTGCAGTGCTGTCCCCATGTCATCACACTGCACTGATGCATGTCACGTGCCTGCTTCAGGCTGCCACGCGCACCATGCTAAACATGAGGGTGCAAAAACTGAACTACGAAGCTGCCCTGAGCGGGCTCGGGAACCGAGGCTGTGGGGAAGCACGCTCTCTGGGGACCACAGGAACTGCTCCCCTCCAAGATCAGGAGTGTCGGAAAGGCAGGGAGCGTTCATACTTCAGCCAAAAGGAGCCACAGCAACTCAAACAAGCGGTAGGTTTTCCCCCTCACTCTCCAGGAACCTCTCTGTGAGAGGAGGAGAGTGGCCACCGGGGCCAGTTAACTGCACCCAAGCTCCTTGAGGTGCACACTGACCTTCCAGTCCGTGTATCCACATGAGAACAGCCGGAGCTGTGTGTGCAGAGCAGCTGAGAGCAGCACCTCCAAGTGGACGGAGAGCTCCACTTCTGCAGGTCCTTTGCTTGTAATTTCCATCCTGAGGACTCAACATCGCCATCAAGATCCCAGCTAGGAATCACCCTTTGTTTTGACAGCCCTGCTCTCTGCAAGCTGAGAGCCTGAGGCAGCTGAGACAGCCCAGACACGGACCAGGGCCCTGCCACAGGTTACAGAGGGATGGCCCAGGGCAGCTCTGCGGTGCTGGGCGCCCTGCGAGCGCCGCCAGGCCCCAAGCACGGTGCCGCTGAGGCAAGTGCTCACGCGCTGCTGCCGCAGAGCGGGGCACCTGCACTGGCATCATGCTCTGGGAACACACTCATTTCACTGATTTTGCACAGAATTTCTGGCAGTCCCCTGGGCTGGCTCCTCTGCACAGCAAGGAAGTACAACCCACCTCCACCTATGGCCTCACAGTCACCAAGGAACGTGCAGGAGCGTGACCAGGGCTTCCCAAATCTGCCACTTGTCCCTCCTGTTTCGAGGGATAACTCTGGGATGGTTTCACTACCCTGCAACCCCCCAGGTACATCACAAGGGAGTTACACTCAGGAGGAAAGAGCTGGAGTTTGGGAGCAGGAGAGGTACCCTCAAAGCCTGCACGAACACTTGCCTTGACTTAAACTTTGGTGTAAATCAATTAAGAAGGAAACAAAGTGGAGCTTCCAAGAGAGCAGGGTATCTCTTACTGCACTGAATAATCAGAAGGGGAGCAAAAACGACACTGCCAAAAAGTTCTTCTGAGGTCTCTGCTTAACAACAACTTTAACACAGAAAACATCAATTAAAATTGTCACCTGTTTCAGAATCAGCTTCGATCCCAATTCAGGAAGCAAATCCTAAACAGAGAAAAAGCTCATTAAATATATGAGAAAACTATCTTCTTCCTGTCAAAGAACAATCTGCACATACATGAAAAGGCTACCAAGGTCCTCCAAGCTGTAAGGTTGGAGAAAACATTTTTTCTTTCATCCCAGTGGGTTTTGGTAGGAACCACAGAGGAAAAAATCTTTAGAGCTTTGCAGGCTACAAGGCACTCTTTTGTCATCCTTCCCCCGGGCAGCACAGGTTTGCAGGAGGAGTGTACCAAGAAAACACCAATGCTCTAAAGGTTACCCATGAAACTGCTGCCTCCTGTAACATCAGCCTCTGGGTGGTTTCCACAATCTGCTTCCTGGGACACAGCACCTGCTACCATATAGGCTGCAAGGGAAAAGGTGTCAGTGTGGAGACTGGGGCCTGGGAAGCTTTTGCAATGCTCTGCTGAGCCTCCCACAAGCAGCTCAACAAAAGAGCCAACAGGAGACCAAAAATAACTTGCAGGGCTCTGCTACTCTAAAGAGAAGAGCAGTAGGGACAGTGGGGAAATTAGGTAGCAATTATCAGGAGGGCTGAACAAGACAGATGTTTTATTGTCTTGCAGAAATGAGATCAAATCTTGAAAACCACAGGTTCACATCCAGTTAGGGGACTTGTGCAGAGAATGCTACAACAGCCTCTTCTGAAAATGCAGTTTCTCTCCCAATCTTAAGCCCCCAGGAAACGGAGATCACTGCTGGGGACAAGCTGTGCAATGCCTGAACAACTGCAGGCTTTGGGGTTTGCAGTTCCTGCCTGGCTTTGCATGATCAAATGCTGATGAATGGTACAAGCACAGCAACCTGAGTACTCTGCAAGGCAAACGTTCAGAAGGTTGCACGCACCCTCCTGGAGGTAAGCCTTAAAGCCAGAAGGGTTGGATTAAAAAGAACCAAAAAAAAGAGTTTATGCTTCGTAAATTACAAATGGGAAAACAACACCCACTGGGCAAGATGTTTTCTCCCCATGTGGTAGTCATCTCTCAAAAGAGAATTGCCTCTTTCAGTTTCTCAGCCCCAAGGGATCTCTCCCTGTCAAACCCACCAGGTCTGGGCTTAGCCCTGCCTAACCCGAGCGCACAGAGGCTGCTGCAGGAGCGCTGCAGGGCAGCTGCACTCCAAAGCGTTGTACGGGGAGCAAGGCCCTGCGGGGAGCTGTGCAAGGGCTGCGTGCCCGGCTCCGGGGCTGCCTGCAGCCAAGGCCCGGCAGGCCGCGCGCCCGGCAGGAATCCTGGCGCCGGGGCGGGCTGGGAGGCTCCGCGCGCCTCCATGCTCCTGGACTCCCACCTGCTCCCAGAGCCCCAGGTGGTGCGGGCAGCCCAGGGCACCTCTCCCCAGCTGTGCCTGGCCGTGCACCCAGCAGCTCTTTGTTTTGTTCCCTTCCCCTGCTCCAAACCACTATGATTCACAGCCCTGAGAGCTTCATGCCCTACCACTGTTGTGCTGAAACACATGGGGGACACGAGGTGAACTCAGCATTGGTAGCCGGCAACGACCCACGGCGCGACACTGGCCAACATGCTGCCAGGCCACAGTGCCGTGTGGCTCAGCCACACCTCGGCCCAGGTACGGGACAGCTTAGCAGGCAGGACAGAACGATCCAGCCCATCCTCTCCATATCTGAAGTGCCACTGGGCTCGAGCTCAGGATTTCATAGTGGAGCTCTGCCTAATCCACTCTCTCCACCCCAACGTTTCACAAAGAACCAAACTTTGCCAGTGTTTCAGATACGGAAGGCCCATTTCTGTGTGACCTACTACAGCTTGGGCACAGCAGATCACTTCAAACCCTGTTTTGCCTCCCCCAAAAGGCAGAACTCTGTTTTTATTAAGTGACGGTAAAGTCACTCTCAAGGATTCCAGGGACAAGTTTTCTAAACAAGCTGCTACTAAAAGCAACATAAAGAGAGGGTCCAAACATCAGCTGGTTTGCTACTTTAAGGACCCAGCAATGCAATCAAGTTACCTAACACTTCAGCCTCTTGACAGCTTCCAAGCCTAGGAGAAGCCTCGAGTTAACAGGCTACGCTTAATTTCCTTTGGGTCAAACTTATAAGGAATCTAATTTGTTTCACAAGCAGCTCTGGATTTCAGCAGGCGGCGGAGAAGCAGCCCAGGCGAGAGAGAAAGGCCACTAGTGCATCGCACAGATCTGCTGCCCAAGGCGACTGATCAGCTGGATATTTAGAAACATGAGCAGGGAGGGAGCTGATGGGGGCTGTGGGACTCCATTTTAACACCTCTGCCCTTTGTAGGAAGGAGAAGGGAAAAAATATATACGTGTGCATATATATACGAGTCCACTCAGTGGACACCACCAAATGATACGGGTTCACATGCAGCAAGGCAACACCGGCACACCAGGGAAAGCCAGGCCCGGCAGAGCAGCTCCGACCGCCAGGCATATACATTACCAGGCTCAGGGCAGGCTTGGGCATGGTCTTCCGTGCTCGGTGGACCTTGACTTCAGCACTAGCAGCGGTGGCTTTTTTAGCATCCATGTCCTTACTGCCCTCCCCGAACTTGGTTGGCATCGTGGCTTGCATCTGAGAAAAGGTGCCCACAGTTCTCCCCTTGCTTGCTCCTCCTGGAAGGGTTTTTGCAGCATGGCCGGTGAGGGAAGCAAAGGTGCTGGTAGTCCTTAGAGGTTGCTCCTGTGCCATCTGCTTCGTTAAAATAAATCCATTGCTCCCCGTTACAGAAGTCTGTGTGAAGTCATTAGCTTTCATATGGTTTTGCTTCCCAGTCTCACCGTCTCGTTCAGAAATGCCATTTTCTGCTATCCTATTTAATTTAGTACTCGAGTCCTGCTGGCTCACTTTCGTATTGTCCTGAGTGTTTTTAGCTGGGTTTGGGTGGCTCCCAGCTTCGCTGTGCTCACAGGAACCGTTGGTTTCACCATCTATGGCCATTTTTGGTTCCCCCGCTTGCTTTTCTGCAGCACTTTCATCTGCAGCCATGGCATTAAATCCTGGAGAAAGAGGATAAGGAGGAAGAGGAGAGAAAGAAAGAGTCACAAGTGTTACCAAAACTCCAACAGAAGACAGAGCTACTCCCATTGGCTATCAAAGGGCAAACGTATCCTCCAGCAAATTGCCTGCTACATACACCCAATTAAACTGCCTATTTACCTACCTGATTGGTTTGGGCTAGATCCTCAGACGGAGGGACTGGGGCAGTCAACTGTAACCCACACCTTCATTTCAACTCACCTTGGCTGCGGATGCAGCCGTTTATTCCAAGCTATGGATTTTTGGAGTTTTTTTGTTCGTTTGTAACCACTTTTATTGGACCATATGTCAAAACCTCACCTAACAAACAGAATTTCGCCCATTTTGCATTTGAGCCTGTGGCAAAGCTGGTTACAACACCAGATTTGCACAAGAAAAGCTTGCTGGAAATACTCCGTGGGACAGACAGAGCCCCGTGGTTAAACATCTGCAGGGAGGTTTTGCTGTTACAAAAGGAGCACAGGGAGCAGCTCCCAGACAGACACAGCTCTCCTGCAACACCGACCAGCAAAGGCCAGCTGAACTGTCCCTCATTTGCCAGGAGTAGGCAGGCCAGGCCCAGGACATCCTGTGTCCTTTCAGGGGTAGAAGCCAGAGCGAACACAGCACCAAAGCGCTTCATTCAAATGCAGATCTGGACATAAACAACTACCTGATTCAAATGCAGGCTGAAACAAAACTCTCGCAGAAAAAACAGCAGCATGTGTTTCTACAAAAAGGTTTTTTCTCCCTCCCCAAATACTCCTGTTTCCCCCCACACCAATAAATTTGTCCTGTCAAATTTCAGACCCAAGATGAAAGGATCCAGATATGAACTTCACACATACTCGCAGAAAAGTTTCCAGCAAGGCAAGCTAGCAGCTCCCCAGGCAAGCAGAAGTGATAACAACTCACTGGCACGTTTGGCAGAATGATTAAATCAACCTGCTGTTGGGGATTCTCGTCCTGAAAGCATCAGAGCACACACCCGCTACAGTTTGTCCAAGCGGGCTGTCAGAGCAGGCAGGACTGACTCACAGCCAGCCAAATCTAAGCGACTCTGGCCAGGATGATGCAGGACCAGAGCGGAGGGCAGCGATCGAGCGGGAGCAGCACCCCAAGGAGCGGCACCTCTGCTCGCTGTGCAAAGCCCGAATGCACGGGATAAAAATAATAAAATCTGAGCGTCTCTGGTGAAAGCTGGTGCGAGTGCACAGCGCCCAGAGCCGCCGCGCCGCGGGCTGCGCAACTTGCCAGCTCTGGCGGGAGGCTCGCGGCTGCGCTCGGTCGGGCTGTGGAGGGTGAGCAGGCCCGGCTCTGGCAACTGCCCCTGCTCGGCTACAGATCCCCTTTCCCTCCTGGGACAAGGATCAGTGGCCCCTGGAAGCGGGGAAAGAAGACAAAAACAAACAAACAAAAACAACTGCCTCCCTCTTAATGCGCTCATTCCGGCAGTCTCTGTCTGTGGCTGGTGTAAGCTCTAGTGTCTATTCTGATCCATGCAGAGACAGTCCTCGCAGCTGGAGTCACTAAAACCAACACTTTCAAGTACCTGGAACAACTGTGGTATTCCCCAAATGTCCTGCTTTTCTGGTGCTTATCTGGGATTTAAAGAAAAGCATTTCAACCACCATATTCAGAGCCATCTCAGAAGTGGTCAGTACAGCTAGACTCACTGCGGAGATTGTCCCTTGCGCCACACACAGAGGCGTCGATGGTGGTGCTAAGCACCTCACTGGGGAGCGCCTTCAGGCCCCACCACAGACCAGAGCTCCTCTGGGCGCCTCCCCGGGCAGTCCCTCCTCAGCAGCCCCGAGCCCAGCAGAACCTGCAGGAGGGCAGCGGCCAACACCAACCGCAGCGGGGCACTTCCACAGAGCCCAGCGGGGGCCCAAGTCAGCAATTCCATCTGCTGCCACCTCATGCCACCCCGGCCACCTTCCCTGTCCTGAGAGCTCGGAGGAGGCGCCCAGGGGGTTGTTTCTAAGAGCAAGGACTCTCCTTGGGAGAAAACGAAGTGCCACGATTTTTTCTTTCATTGTTATTTAACTACTTGAGAAATCTTGGCCAGGTGAGAACGCAGCCAACAGTTACACTTGTTATCTTTATAAGACCACGCTATGACTTAAAAAATATATATTTTGGCAAAGGTAGTGTTGGAAGAGAACAAAAAAGCCTAAGGTCGCTATGAAAAAGCAATGAGGCTAAAATGAAAATCCCTCACACAGGTTCTCCTCCACTCTTACTAAGGTGGCCAAATACAATCTGATTGTCCATGGAGGTGCCGTCAGACAAGCACACCAAACTTCCACAGCTGTAGTTCTCATTTTCTGAAAAAGATGTTTCACCGCAAGCCTGCTAAAATATGGCAAACGTATGGAGTTCCCCGGCTCATCAGGAACAACGAAACGAAGCACATGCTCCAGGCTTTGCTCTTCTCAAAAATGTTGTTCAGTTCAATTGAAGCCTTTCTGCTCTTACGCTGTGAGTAGAATAAAAAAGCCTAAAATCAACATTTTTCTAAATCTCTACTGTTTGACTTCACTTATTTCTTCTCTACCCAGAACAAAGCTGAGTTCCGCCATATTCCCCTCTCCCTCCAACTCTGTTCTTCATCTATAGTCACTGTTGCTTTAACTAAAAATTAAAGATATCAACTGCTTGTACAGAACTGTAATTGCAATTAATAGAAGCATCTGAATATGGTAGCAATAGCTGAAGGGAGGGTGTCAGGAGGATGGGGCCAGATTCCTTTCAGTAGTGGCAGCAACAGGGCAAGAGGCAATGGCCACAAACTGAAACACAGCAAGTTCCACCCGAATTTGAGGAAAAACTGGACTGTGAGTGTGCCAGAGCTCTGGCATAGGCTGCCCAGAGAGGCTGTGGAGGCTCCTTCTCTGGAGATCTTCCAAACCCACTTGGATGTCACCCTGTGTCCCGTGCTCTGGGTGCCCCTGCTTGGGCAGGGGTTGGACTAGGTGATCTCTGGAGGCTCCTTCCAACCCATGGCCACATCCACCAATAAAAGCCTGTCACGTTGTCCATGATGCTGCATCCCTTTCTGAGTATTCAGAATTAATTCAAAATTCAGCAGTGTGTATGAGAGGTAACACACTCAAGAGATTAATCTTCTGTTATGCTGCTCACTCACTGAGCTAGGGATCTGATGTTCTTACTAAGTGGAAACAAGCACCCCTAAATTTACCTATCTGCCAACAGTTGGCTATATTTTAATAGCACAAAGAATTCCAGACTCCAAATTATGCAGATGTGTTATCCGTGCACCTCCCCAAGGCCAAGAATAAAATAACCAGGAATATACTTAAATCAACAGTCTGAATTAACTACTCACTGAGGGCAAGCAAGAGTTCACAACCCTCCCACCACTCTACAAACAGGCCCCTTGGCATCAGCCTCACTCAAGTCTAGCTTTCCTCTCTCGATAATAAATCATTTTTCTACAATTAAAATTCCAACCAAGTAAACAGAACCTCGACAAAGGAGGGGGGAAGCTAAAGCAGCTGGGCTGAGCTCAGCTCCCCTGTGCTGAGAGATCTCTGAGAGCTCTGCAAAGTTAGTGGCCCTGCGCCCCTCCATCGGAGCTGGTGCCGGCGGTCGGCTCCCGTCCCACGGTGAGCACAGAACACGGCCAGGAGGACCCCCACAAGGGCATGCGGAGTCACCTGCAGTTTCTACCCGTTTTCCCAAACACGCTGTACTGAGCACTGCTAGCACCTGCACGCCCAACGGTCTGCCTCTTGCAAGACATTTTCCATGCACTTCCAGCCCCCTCGAAGGAGGGCAGAGCTCTGTTTCTTCAAAGGAAACACAGGGCAGGCCTTCAGATGCTGCAAGAGAAGGATCACAACTCTGAACTGTCAAGCAAAGAAAACTTAACGGAAAAGCTGATGATTTCAAGTGCATTTGGAACTGCAGTGCAAGTGCTGTGTACATTTACATACACACACACATTTGACATGTTTTTGCCTTAAGTACTTTACAGAGCATCTTTTAAAACAATCACAGGTATCACATATTTATTCAGTATCCAACAGCCCTGTGGCACAAGCTTTTAAAAAGAAAGTTACATGAGTGCTCATAGTCCTTATGTTACAACAGCTCCTTCCAACCCTTACTCCTCAAAGCAGAAAAAAAGAAAACTGCAAAGCAAACAAAAAAAAAACCACAGCTGAAATAAAAAGGATCCTGAGAAGATGTCTGTTGAAAGAGTCCAAACTAGCACGAAATGGTACATCACGGTCCTGTACTTTGTTTAAAGGGCCAAAAATCTGAGCATTTTGAAGCCAAGAAATGAGCAGGCCCAAGTTCCTCTCTGGGAGGAGGAGAACTTTTGCCTTCCTTCTTTTTCCCTTCTCTTTCCTTCTCTTTTTTCTTCCCCACCTTTTCCTCCACTTTTTCCTTTTAAATTAGAGGGGGCAGAGGAGACCCACCTGAGACCATGGCCCGTATTTCCAGATTGCCAGAGCAGGCCCCCTGCTCTCACTGGGAACCCCTGGTCTGCCGTAGGACAGGCCCAAAGGTGAAGCAGAGGGGGAGAAACACAACTGCCACTTTGCAGAATCCTGGGGCTAGTGAGGGCAGCTGGGGGGCATCAGCTCTGTGCCAGCCTGGCTGTGCGCCCCGCTGCCGAGTGGACGCTGCTCCCGCTTCGCTCCCTGCCAAGCAGCCTCCCACCTGCCTCCGCGTGCTCCTCGCAGCAGCACCAACCACCTCATGCCACAAGGGCACAGCTAAGATATCACCTAAGCGGCTTCTTGCTCGACCTAGTCTCCTGGCTGTCAGTCTCCAGCAGGGACCTCAAATGCTGAGAAAGTCAAAGTAAGAAAATTATTCTTTTTCTTCTTTTAAAGCTGCTGGCTGTAGAGCAGAAAATGCAAAGGTTGCAGCTGCTCCATGGAAAGCAGCGCTTCCCTCACACGCTGCAATCTCCTAGGTGCAATAAGAGGGGGAAAGGGGGGAAAAAAGAAAGGCTTCTTCAGGAATTTAAAATCTTGACACTCTCTGAAAGCAGTTTTAATTTTAACTGAGAGCAAATCAACTGCGCGTTCCTAATCTGGCACCGTGGTCTGCCACCGATGCCTTGTGAAATGGCTGCCTCGGGTGAAGTTTCCAACGCGCTGAGCCTAATTGCAGACTTTGCTGTCGACTGCCCTCGCCTGCTCCTTCATTCCACCTCTTTATTGGAGCTTTCCATCTTTGGGGCTGAGAAACAGCAGCATGAAAGAAAGTAACAGGGCAGCTGAAAGGCCAAGTGAGAGGTAGTGCCGAGCACGGAGCTGCGGACACTGGGAGGACGACTGCAATCACTTGCAATTCTGGTGAGAAACCTCTTTTTAATTAGTTTCTTTCCGAGTCAGACTAAATGCAATATGACCCAACGAAACGAGAAAGCAACTCTTTTTCCCATTCCCCTCTTCCATCCGCCTGCCCCTTCACCCTCCCTGTTGCCGAGGGGAAAGACAGACCTCAACTTTTACCCACGAGCTGCAACATTTCCCCATGGTTCACAAAAACCATCCCACCCACAGTTTTTTTTCCTGTCTATATTGAGCAACTGTAGACAGAAGAGGACGTTAACTCTAGTGAGCAACCTGCACTAGACTTCACACAGCCTGGGAGCCTTAAAGCGCCAGGAACACTTGAAGCTCTCATTACTACAGATGTACGTTCAATTTACAGTTTAATTATTTCTCTTCAACAGTGCCAAGATGAAACGAGGCAAGGACGTGCCAGCTCATAGGAACACTGCATTTCCCCCCGCTTTGGCTGCATCAGGCTCATAGGCCGTCAAACTCAGGCGGGCAGCACCGGAGGACGAGCAGGCGCAGGGCCCACCAAGCGCCCGGCTACGAGCAGGGCAAGGCCCTTCCCCGTGCAAGCTCCACAGCCAGCCCCGGGGCACGGAGCAGCCAGCGCTGCCTTTCCTGCTTACAGGACAGACCTGGGAATCACATTTAAAAGCTGCAAGCTTCCACAATATCCTATCTCATCTTGGACACAGAGAAAACACCAGTCTGTACATAGATGTGTAAGTAAAAGGGCCATTCCCTGAGGCAGCAGCAGAGCTATGGTGCCAATATTGTTCAAATAGGGATCTAATTCTGGCCTCAGACACTCAGAGCAACCTTTCTGAGTCAAGGGAGGGTAAAAAGGGGGTAAATGTAACAAGTGACTTCTTATAAATCACACCTTGAGCCCAAATAGTACCAAACAGGCTTTGGATCTGCAAGCTCAAGCCTCAGGGTTGCCATCCTGAATTCAGTACTCACAGAGCGCCTGCCAGGAGAATTTTCCCAAAGGGAAGAGACTCCAGGACAAACCTCATTTTATTTTACAGACAAGAGCTCCCATCAAGCACCAGCTCAGTCTGCCTCACGTGGCTCTGTCTCCACCAGACACAACAGCATCAGCGCACTCGCATGGATTCCCATTCGCGTACATGTCCTTCTCTGTAACAAGGCAGCAACCGCTCCAGGAAACGTCAGCAGAAACCTCAGGCTTCGGACGCTTTACCAATCCGTGCATCCCAGCTCCATGCACTGCCTCCAGCCCCAATTTCGGGAACAGGGCTTAAGGAAACAATTTCCAAATGCACCTTGCAAGTCTGTTGTAATAATTTAATGTTCATGCAACATCCCAATACGTAAATTTATAACGCAAATAGACATTAACTAACTAAACTCTGAACGATCACAGTTGGTTAATGAAGGTCAGCTCCCAACAGTGCGTACAGCACAGCAATCAAGCAAATCACTGCCTTTTTATGCATGCGGCATGTTCAGGAAAAAAAAAAAAAGAAAAAGAAAAAAAGGTATGATCAGAATATGATCAGAACATCACCACAAGAATGGGAACTATGCACTTTAGGACCATTTTTCCCTGATAAGAGGACTGTAAAATAAGCTGAAGTGGTTGCAAGTTGAGCACCTTGAGGCTGTTCCTGCTCAGCAAGGATTCTCCGCTTCCTTTTGATACACAACACTTGCCTTTAGTTAAAACCAGTGACAACATTCAAGGCTCTGCCATGTCTCTCTCCCAACTATCACCCTGGGTTTTGACTCCCCTAGACTCTTGACACTTACCTTGAGGTCACCTAGAGCTAAACAAACTAAGTTAACAGTCCTGATCCAAGCAAACTAATCAAAGCTGGATTCTCCTCTCGGAGCAACGTGAGCTCCCACAGCCATGTTGGACTTCACCTCTGGTCTTCGCAGATCCGAGGTGCGTACATGCAAGCACTGGCTGGATCTAGCACCGCATTCGATACTTAGCTGTTTTGGAGCTTTACTTTCTAACTGGAGGAGCTTCACAAAACAGAATGCTGGACAGAACGGAAAGAAACAGCAAGGTTGTAAGGGCACAGGTCTGAAGTAAGTCCAGAAGTTTGTTTCTAGACAAGGCTAGGTATTTTGATAGGGCCAGTTCTGTGATTTTCTTGTGTTCTATTATGGAGAGAAGAACAAAAATCCACTAAATCCTTGCAGAGGAATGCGAGGTAGCTAGGCAAGGAATAATGAAAGCATGAAAATAAAAGGAGGGGGCAAAAAGAAAAAAAAAAAACAAACACACAAAAAAAACAGACTAGGGTGTTTTGTTTCTTTTCTAATTCACTGACAGATAAATCCTCAGATTTGCATGCATGCAACTCTCAGACAAACACGTAGGAAAGACTTCCTTGAATTTAAATGTACTCTGCATCCTTTCTGCAAAGTAAAAGTAAGCAGAAAGGAGGGAAAAAAAAAAAAAAGAAAAGAAAAGCCCTGAAGCAACCCCTAATGGCACAATGTGTAGAGTATCTCCCCCACCCTGGCCATCCTGGAGCAATCAGTGCCTGTTCTGGAGCCACAAAGGAACTCACAGGAAAAGAGAGTCAAGTCTAACAGCAGGAGGAAAAGGGCTAGGTCATTGTGTGTTAGGGATCAGAGTTCAGTTCAAACCAGGCATACAATGGAAGTTCAAAGTAACTAAAGTCTCCTTTAGAGCCACACCAAAGCAGAAGTGAAAATTAGACATAATTCTTCAGGTGGGAGGAGAGGGATGGCCTGAAAGTCAAATTTGCATCTTTGGGGGAAAAACCCTGCTGAGCAGGAGCAGATGAGACGGGTGCAGCTCCTGCAACAGGTGCCCATGTGAGACCCGCAGGGGGACAGAGCACGTCCTCGGTGCCCTGGTTTCATTGCCACATGCGTCGCATGCCAACCCCACTGGCAAGGTCTGGCCCTCAACCGAAGCAGATGCTCACCTTCCTCTTTATTGTTGGTGATATCTTTCAGCAGCTCAGTCTTCATGCAGGCGTCCCTCCTTGTCTCTCCCTTACTCAGCACTGTTCGCTAGAGGTGGAGGGAGGAGGGACAGGGAAGAAATATCAGCATTTAGCTCAAATGTTCATATACACATCACATTTAAAACAAGATACAATCGGGGACAAATCCTGTTTACATCATGGGCAAACTTCACTCTGCAAAGTAACTCTGCCAGGAAACTGCCAGCAAAGCAGAGGTCAAAGATAAACAATGTGGAGGCTCACCCCGAGAGCCCGGCTCGCCTGCGAGGCAGCGGAGCCCACATCAGCAGAGCTGCCATTCCTGATCTCTTTGGTTAAGACACAGCCAGATACTATTTTTCTCCCCCCGAAATGTAAGGAGTTTGGGAATCCAGCTGAGCACATCAGGATACACATGGGTTAAAGTGTTTCTAAAAGACATCCCAAGAATATGGCCCTCGCTCCTCCCAAAGCTCGCAGGTCCTGGGAGGCTGGAGGGGCTTTTCATCTCCCACATTTCTCACTGCGTGGCAGAGAACATGGGCAGGCCGAAGGACACTGCTTCCATTGCTGTAGCCGTTTCTGATGTGATTTACAAAATGCAAACTGTCAGCCCAGGTGAACTGGAGCTACCTCATCCTCCACATTTATTAAAGCAGAGGAGCTCTCTTCTGCAGCCTAAACCAAGGGGTTTTGCTTCCCCTCTTTTCCTCTTTTTCTTGCAAAGCAGAGCACCTGCTCAGTGCTTTCGCACACTTGCAGTCGCATTGCCGTATCAGCTTTGCAGCCTCCAGACCATTTTAATGTCAGGGAGGGGACAGACTAGAAGCCAAGCACAGGAGAAAGGCACTAAACCCCTGGACGCCCAAGCACGGCCCCTTCGGCACAGTGCCGGAGGAGCTGCTCCGCGCGGCCAACGTGGTGGCCGCCTCACAGCACCGCCTCATGATGCGCCCGGCGGCTGCGCCGGGTCACGGCACCGCTGGAGGCCAACGCGGGAGCAGATGGTGCCTGCAGCCACGCAAATCCAAAGGCTTAAAGCAGCACCGAGTGGTAACAAATAAAAAAAAAAAAAAAAAAAAAAAAAAAAAAAAAAAAGGCGCCCCACCTCCCAAAACTGAGGAAGGCACAGGCGGCCCAGCACACTCATCGGCAAACGAGGCCTTGCGGCCTGCCCTTCCCCCACCTCCGGAGCCAGGAGGGAGGCAGCTGCCATTTCCAGATGGCCCCAGGTGAACTCAGCTGCACTGCCAGGTGTCCCCGGCCCCACACACCAGGGGCTTCCTTCCAACACCCTGCAGTGCCCCCCCTACTCCCGGCCACGGGGACACCCAGCAGTGGCAGGCTGGCTCCCCATCGGGCACGCGAGGCCGGGTGGCGGCAGGGCCCCGCAGCCCCACGCTGCGCTCTGGGAAGCGACACAGCTCACAAAGAGGTGACAACGAGGGCAGGCAGCGCGAGTTTCCTGGAAATCCGCCCCTCTCAACACGTGCCAGAGTCCCCCATGGGGAACTAAGGGCACCTTGAAGGATAGCTCCTCAAATAACCAGCAAGGATATGTTGGGTGGCTCTGTGCTACGCCAGGGACGCAAGCGAATGCCCAATATACCCACGGCTTGAAGCCTCTTGTCAAGAGGCAACTCAGACACTAAATACGCAGCCTTTGGATTTTAAGACGCACCAAAAATTTTAGGCATGCAAAAGCCCCGCTCTGCCAGCCGATCAGACAGCCTCAAACAAAACAAACTCCCAGCAGATGCTGACTCGCAATTTCCACCATGAGATGATCAGAAAATGCAGCTCTCAGTCTGAATACAGATCAACTTTTTTTTTTTTTGGCTAAGCCAACAATATACAGCCCCAGTGCGAACATGTGCATCCATAAGTTACTTCTCCACTGCCCAGACTTTCTGTAAACAGGGATAACTTCATTTTCCTCATGAGCTTATCCTGGAGCAAGATGAATGGAAACACAACCAGCCAGGCCCACTGCAGACTAGGGGCACAACGAACAAATACCCAAGCTCTAGCTACAGATATTGCTATAAAATAAAGAACCTCAGCTCTTCTAAAGGTCTGGTTTGTTTTCCCAGCTTTGCTAATAACAAATACAGTTCTTGATCTCCGCACTATTAAACTGATTCCAACCCAAAGCTTCAGATTTTCACATCTGACACTAGTATCCGACAGATCCCACTGCTTTTTCTTCATTTTGCAGGGGGCCCCCCATACATAAATTATGACCAGCTGGCTGCATGGCTGCTGCCCCAGGCACAAGGCCTACAGAAAAGCTGGACCCTGCCAGGGGCACCAAGCTGCCCAGCATCCTGAGCAACGATGGGAGCTTTCCGAGCAGAGCTTCCAGCGCTGGGAGAGGCTGCAGACCTGCTCTTTTTGGTGTGGAGGCCTCGGCGCCAAAGCAGAGCTAAGCGAGGTTGCTGCTCAGAGGCTCTGGTGGGCCTAACCCAGAGGCAGAGGTGAACAGGCCGCACCAGCGGTGCCGCTTTCACAATGCTCACTCTCTGCTCCAAACCACACAGAAACTCAACATCAAGGTAGCAAATGCTACAGCGCACCCTCAGCCCTGCGGCATGGGGGGAGAACACATAAGGAGAAAAAAAAAAAAAGAGGAAAGAGGCAATCGAGGAGCATTCTTATCACAAGGGAGGCCTCGTGAAGAGAGCTGCCGCAGAGCCCTCGAAAGTTTTCCCCATGCGGCACAGAGTGGTGTGGTGGCTCTCGCCCTTGCTCTGCCACGCGCGGCTGCATGGCACCCACGGCAGATGCCCGTCGGCTGCGCAGCTCATGGCAGACACCCGCCCGCTGGGGAGGG